AGGATGGGAAAAGTGGTTCTCCACTTGGACCACTGATTCCTCTTTGGCCTTGGGAGAAAATACTGCCAGGTACAGCGAGCTCTAAGTCAAGGAGAAGGAGGCACTTGCCTTGGACAGCACACTGAAAAGGCAACAAAATCACCATGACAGCACTGTCTGTGCTGGTGCTGTGGCAGGTTGGCTCCTTCTGTTCCACAAGAGGGAAAGCTTGGGCTGTAATTCTTCCTGTTCACCATCCCTGACCTCAGATCTCTTTTTTTGCTGGCAGGAGTGGGAAGACCAGCCTGCATCCTATTGCTTTCACTCCTACTACCTTCCCTGTGCTTCTGCCCAGCCTGTGGCAAAGCTTGGTTTGTGGGGCCAGGGCTGAGATACCATCTGCCCCTACTCATGCATGTTTGTTGACAGGAGGTGCTCAGGGCTGTGGTGGTGCTAGTGAGCTTTTTGGTCCCTCTGTGTCCTATGTGCAAAAAGGGATGAATCTGTACCCCTCAGTTCTCCTACTGGTGTGAATCTTAAGGACGTTCTTATTCCAAAAATGTGTCATTAAGGAATTAAATCCTGTTGGAAGTCCCAGATGTGCTCACAAGCCGTTGTGTGCTTTTGAAAGTAATGCTATAATGTATTAATATCTTTAGATCACTTGAATATTTTCAGCTGGAGGAACATCTTTTATTTTCTTTGTTAATTGTGCTATGAATAGATCTTAGGCTACTGAGGAGAAATGAGTCGCTGTGTTGAAATGGTGATCCCTTGTGAGTTCACATGTACACCTGGCTGCTCTGAATTGCTTACCAAGCTGGGCTGCTGGAGCAGTGACAACTTCTACCAGCTGTAGATCTGTCCCAAAGTTTCCTGGGCTTTTTACAAAAATGTGGCAAACTGCCACAGCTCCCTGATCCTCAGGGCTGTCGATTAATGCCGCAGTTCAGACCCCAGTCTTTCAGTATTAAGCAAGATGGGCCCGTGCACTGTTCAGACTATCGATAAAGAAACTTTAGAGCATCATCATCATCATTCATTAGCTGATTTCACTCCTCGAGATACAGTAACCAAAAGCTGTGCATATATCACAAGTGAAAGGTGGAGGGAGTCAACCAGAGAGATGCTACTGGAAGATACTAATAACGTTTGGAAAAGATCTAAATGATGGGCCAGATCCTTTTCTGGAGTGAATCAGCATACCTGAGCTGACTGCAGGAGAGCTACAGTGCAGTCCTGGGTCTGGACCTCTGCACACTGGCTTCAAGATTTTCAAAAAGCGATTGGTGCAAGGGAAAGACAAGGTGGCTGAGTCTCCATTACAGCTCAGCCTTGGGCATCTGCAGTGGGACTGCTGGCAACTAACATGTATTATAGACATGAAGTGCTGGCCACGAGGTGAACCCATCTCCATCAATAGGCAGAATAAACAAAGGAGAAAGAATTATCAGGGGTAGTGGATTTAAATACCTTTGTGTGGGTAAATTATAAACTCATTTCTTACAGCTTTTCACTGGCCAAAGAGAGAGTATCTCTGGAGACATTTTACTGAAGGCAGAAACCCAGTTAGAATAAGATTGTTATGCAACTAATAAAGTGTTTTCAGACAGAGAATTATTTTTGGTGCTGTAGAAATATTAAAGCATTAAAGCAAAACATGTAAAAGCAGGGAAGAGCACAGTTCCAAACTTCTTGTGATTTTCAGGTTCCTAGATCACCCATCTTTGAGGACTGGCAGTTTGCAGCACTGGCTTTCCCTGTTGCATTTGCCCATGTGCAGTGACACCAGTGCCTAATCTTACTTCTTTTCAGGGTTAATGCCTTTCTGGATACACTAGAAACTTTTGCTGTCAGAAACACGGAAGTGTATGCACTCAGTGACGTGTTCTGGTTCCTGCCTCCTTCAGCTGGGGCCAAACTCACAGGAGTCAAAACCCCCCTGGCCCCATGTCTTTATGTTAAACTAGCAACCAAGGATGTTAAGAAATTCACACGGTATGGCTGGGAAGTGATGCATAACTGCTTCTACATTAAAACAAGCCATTATTTAACAAGATGCAGTTACTATGAGTTGTTTTCCTAAGTGTTTAATAATTGCGTGTACTTGCTGTGCAGCTTTATGTTCAGATTATCCTCCACTCCTTTTTCGTACAGACTGTAGTTCACTTAGGTGGTGTAAATACTTAAGGTCTCCTCCCTTAGAAGCAAACCCTTTCAGTGTGACCCTGCTTTGAAGTTAGGGACTCAGTGGACTGAGTTCCTAAGACCACACGGCACATCCTCTGACCTCACTGGAGATCAGAGGTGCTCAGCTCCTCCTGATTCACCGAGCCTGTGTGCAGGGTGGATGCCAGTCTGAAAAGTGAGCTTCTGTGGTGACAGTGCTGAAACCGTGAAAGAGCCTGCATTTGGCCATGGCGTTGCTTCTCCCCAGTGCTGTCAACACCAAGACTCAGGTTGTGATAGCAAAGCAGAAAGCTGCTGCTTCAGTGATTATTGCTCAGACGTTGATACACCCGACCGCCTCTCCCCTCAGCACCATTTCTGCTGTATCTAATAATTGTGTTTCTTTATACACAGTAATTTAGGACAATTAGAAGCAATAGCATAGTTAAACCTTTAAAAGGTTATCTAGCAATGTCATTTTCTTGACTAATGTGTTCCTTCTGCCATGTCGTTTGTGAATAGACATGTGTTAGCCAGCTAGTGTGCTTCATCTGTGGTGACTTTGATTTATTTGCTCTGTAAATTGGGACTGAAGCAATAATGGAAAGTGACATTAATTGTTTAAGAGAGTCCTCTTTGTCACATCCTCTGCTTTCTCTGGGGTGTTTGAATGTTGAAACTTGTACAAAACTAATTGAAATTGCTGTGATGAGGACCAGTGTCCACTCAACTTTCTGTTCTTGAATGTCAGCGCACTTGACTGTCTGTTTAAAGCACAAGAGCTGAGCAGCTAACAGCAAATATCAGGGTTTCTTCTGGCATGCTATTATTGAAAAAGGCATTCCCCCTTAGAAATAGTAACACTTCCAGCTTTGTTGTCAGTTTTATAAGCTGCAGGGCTCAGTAAGGGGTGGGAGGGTGGTGGTATGCCCCACCAGCCAAACTTACTGGAGAAGATTGTGGTGTGGGGCGGGAGGTCAGGCAGCCAGACTGCCCCACGTCCACCCCGAGGTTGAGGGCTGGCCTGCGAGGGGCTTGAAATGCCATTGGAAAAAAAGGCAGTGCTTTGGTACATTACAAAGCGATTTTTTTTCCCAGTAATGCCTTTTGGTGCTTTTCTAGAGGTGACAACATAATTTTTGTCTTTTACTTTCAAAGAAGAGCTGGATTTGGAGAGTGGTTTTATTTGCAAAGTGGCTCCCCTCTGCTTATTTCCATCCCCTGCACACCAAATTATCACAGCCCTGTGCATGTGTCTGCTTGGTCTGATGGAAAGCACCAGATACCAGAGCTGAGGCTCTTTTTCTCAGTGGCCAAGCCCCTTTTGGCCTTTTAAGTAAACGCTTCTCCTTAGTGTTAGCTTTGCCTGGGTGTTATTTGTTTCTCGAGGATGATGCTGTAAGCACCAGCACATTCTGTGCTCTGCTATAGCTTTCTAGCTGGAAGGCAGAATTTTTCTGTAAGAAGCCGTGAGGTGTGATGTGGCAGAAAAACCTGGCAGGAGCAATTATCTGTGTGGTTTATGGGCATCTCCGTTCAGAGTCTAGTAGGTAAAAGCATTACTGAGAAAAGTCATGCTAAGGGGATACTCAGATTCACTTGGTCCATTTTTTTTTTTTTTTTCTGAGATGTGACTGGCAATGTTTTGTTGTTTTTAAGCTTTTTTTCCCTTGGTTTGTTTGTCTGTCTTACTGGTATATTCCCTGCTAGTTCACTTTTAAACAGTGAGATTTGAACTTAGCTGAAACCTCTTCACAGTATGAGCCTGGAGCACCATGAACCACTTCCAAGCTGGTGGGAAAACTCCCAATTTGATATCAGTGAAAGGCTTTTCATTTACTTTAATAGCACTAGGATCAGCCTAGGAATCCTAGATAATTGATCTGTCAAGATCAATTTCCAATCTTTCTGAAAAATAAATATAATGATATTTATAAAATTCTATTCTACAGAGCTCTTAGTACTCAAAAAAAAAAGTGTACTTTAATAGACAGTAGGGACTATATTTCATGTAAAAAAACTGAGAGTCATTTAAATTTACTCAATTTGACAAAAAGAAGTCTTGAAATAAGATATCTAATATAAATTAACATTGCAGCCACACCTGATTAGGAATTAATCTGCTTTTTATAATTGCAGTCTGAGTTAGATAAATGCATACAATAGTCGTACTGAGCACTCAAACAACGTAACTCCAAAGGACCACTTCAAAGGCGACCTGCCTGATACATTTCTTTAAAGGAAACCCAAAGAGCCTGCCATTCTCAGTATGGGTCCTGATGGCCAGTCATTCCAAAACGCTCAGGAATGAGAAGTTGTTTGGGTTGGATCAAAGGTTTCCAGAAGTATGGAAGGGAGACCCTTTCTCAGTTACACTGGGCTGCGTATGTGAGCAAGGTTTTTCGAATTTCACTGGTGGTTCTTTTAGGTCTTCTGATTACCTGTCTTATTCTCCGATTCTTGTGATTTTGTCAGGTCAATTAGCTGGTGTTTAGTGTTGAAAAGAGAAAGAGAGAGACAGCCTGGGCTGACACCATAGTTAGGTGTCAGCAGCTTAGGCACATCCTGTAATACAATCCCTGGGTGATTACTTCTCATTGTTAACACCGGATTTAAAAAAAAAAAAAAAAAAAGAATCGTAGGAGAAAAGTAAACTAGAGCAATGCAATGCAAGTACAAAGAGATTTCTCCTGAAAGCAGAGACGGATAATTTTATTGACCTTAATTGCGCTGTTGGAGGTTACTGTTTGAAGGGCTGGTTTAGCAGTATTGCGACTGCTTTTTCACAGACAGAGGCAGAGGTTTGTCCTTTTCTCACCTGGTTCCGCTTTTTCTTTTGTCCCTTCCCACAGAAGATAGACGAAGAGAGTGAGGCAAACTTGCTGGCCGTTCTCACTGAAACACTGGACAGCATCCCTGTGGACGAGGATGGATTGCCCTCCTTTGACGCACTGACAGATGGAGATGTGACCAACGACAATGCCGTTAGCCCTTCCCCAGTGCCCGACGGCACCCCTCCGACTCAGGAGGCAGAAGAGCCGTCTCTAGTAAGAACCCTTCCTACTGTTTAACAGGAATTGGATGTGCCTCTGGCAACCCGCTGCATGGGTATGATGTAGTCACAGTAAGGTCTGGACTTTTCATTTAGACTGGAAAGGAAAATCAAATAAAAAAAAATGAAAATTAAGCAGGGGGAAAAAAAACACACACCAAATACTATAGTATGACTAATAAGACAATCTATTAAAAAGTGTGTTGAAGAGATTGTTTTTGAGATTCTTGTGCTAATAGCTGACATTTTCTGTTCAAACAAGTCAGGGCTATGTTTTTTAATTCATATTTCATTTCTCAGGGCTCTTTTTATATGTATGTTTAGATATTGCTTTCGGTGATCTGCAAAGAAAGACCCATTGAGTCTCCTTGGATGTGGGGTTTATTTTGTGCCTTTAACATTGATTTGACCAGTAAGCACCAGTTTGGTGCTAATCGGGGCAAAACTGAACCTTGGGTGAGGATGCAGATGAAACCTCATATGCATTTTGCTCAGGAAAACCAGTTTGAGATGTGATTCTGTTTCTGCTGAAAGCCCCTTATCACTGCCTTCTGCAGAAGCAGAGCCAGATACCCGCATCTTGACACTGTATCCATTAGTCTGTTGAAGTTCAGGTGTCTGTTTAGATCAGAGGCCTCTTCTGTCCAACAGATTGCCGAGAATTTTGTTCTGCTGTGAATTCAGGAATCCAAGCCCCCTGTCGTTTCTGCTTGCCCCACAGCATACTGCAGTAAAGGGAGCAGACATGTGCCACCGAGCCAGGAGAAAATGATACCTGTTTGCTCTAGGGAATACTGAGCCCTTCTTTCTGTTTTAGTGTACTTTGCTTGGTGAAACTGATATAGCTAATATTAAATAACTATGCAAAAAAGTGTAGATAAGTAATTTGAATCCATAAAGATGCATAACTTTACTCTTTTCCTTCCACCTCCCTTTCCCTGATGTGTTTGTAGCTCAAGAAGCTCTTGCTGGCTCCAGCCAACACTCAGCTAAATTACAATGAATGCAGTGGTCTCAGCACGCAAAACCATGCAAACACTAATCACAGGATCAGAACAAGCCCTGTGGTTGTTAAGGTACAAACTTAAATTTTGTAATAAGGGGGGAAAAAAAAAAGAAAAAATGAAATATGTGTGTAACAAGGTCTTTTATGCTTTCAGCAACCAACCAAGCAGTAGATCTATATGTATTGTATTAATCTGCCTACTGTCTTGCAACTGCTTTAAAAAAACAAATGTGAACAGATTATAGACTGGGTTCCAGAAAATCACCTGAACTCCTTTATGCTCTGAATATTTCATTTATGCCTTTTTTTTTTTTTTTTTTTTTTTTTTTTTTTTTTTTTTTTTTTTTTTGGCTTGGCAGAGTTCAGTTGTAGTCCCACTGTCTGTTACTCTTGCCTACTTTATAGATACACAGAGTAGTAGAGGGTACAATAAAATTTGCTGATGGACTGGTGTTGTTTGTGAGTGACTCCAGGATGCAGGAATTGCCATTTTACCAGCTGTCTGAGCTAAGAAAAATGACACACTGGATTCTTGGCAAAAGATGTGTATCAGCCATTAATTGGCTAGAATGGGGACTCTGACATAATTCTTTTAGCAGGCAGTTTTAAACAATGTTTGTCTTGCTGTTCACTGTAACTGAAAACGGAGCGTTTAGGGGTACTTAAGAGAGTTGTGAATACTGGGCTCAAGCGATCAGCAGCAAATTAAGGTTTAAACCAGCTTATTTTTTTGTTCACACTAAAGGTGCTGTAGGGTCTTGTTAGTTACATGTTGCTGAGTAGGAACATTGAAATGTAGGAGAAATGAAATAAAAAGCTGCATAAATGTCATTTAGGAACTTTAAATGTAATTTTCTTTCCTTGTTCTGCAAACAATTATTCACAGCTCATAGATCTAGTACACTTAGACTGAACACTTCATTGAAAACCTCATCTCTTCAGAAAACTTATATCCATTCTGATAAGGTTCAGCTCACTAATTTTAGCTTTGCTATTTTGTTTTATTTTGTTTTGTTTTATTTTTTTTTTTATTATTTATTTTATTTTACTGTGTTTTTAAGACTGAGAACTCATGGAGCAATAAAGCAAAGAGCATTTGTCAACAGCAAAAGCCTCAAAGACGTCCTTGCTCTGAACTTCTCAAGTATCTGACTACAAATGATGACCCTCCTCAGACCAAACCAGCAGAGAACAGGAACAGCAGCAAAGAGAAATGCACCTCCAAAAGGAAGCCACATCTGCAGTCTCAGACAAATCATCTGCAAGGTAGGTATGGGACTGCAGAACACAGCTTTGTTACCAGCAATAATGCCAGGAAGCTGTAGTACAACGTTTGTGAATGCCTTCAGTACCTCTTCTTTTCTTTGGATTAGTATTAGAAATCCAGCATCTGTGTAGGGAGAATTTAAAAACAGCGTAATGAAGTTAGAATTAGTTAGCTAGATTCAGTTTTTAAGCTATTTTAATCCTGTCTCTATTGCCCCTAGCTGCAGAAAAATAATCTCAGGGGAAAGAGAAGTTTAAAGAATACCACATGTTAATATACCAGGCTAGCTGGAGATACATATTCACAGAGTACTGTACCACTAAGAAATCATTATGCTCCTAAACAAGCTGGGCAGGCCAGTTCATTAGTGAGCTTCTTTCTTTTTTGCTAGAGTAAAACTGAAGGCATTGTTAACCTGCCACATAGTCCTTAAGAGACAATAAATAGTGCTCTCACTGCTACAGAGAGAGCAATAAATGTGTCATTCCTGTTAAAGCTGGAATGCCAGTTTGTAATTTTATTTTGTAAATAGTTGAAAGTTTAGCTGCCATCCTGATTTTTCTCTTTTTAGGTTCTTTATGGCCAAAACTAAACATTTGTAATGACTTTTAGTATCCCCCGATGCGTAAAGAACTGGTGTATATTACAAGTACCTTCTGTGACAGAGATGCAAGAACTTAAAGCCCCCTCTCTCACTTTCTCTCCCTCTCTTCCCCGCCTGTTTTCCCCAGATAAAGCTCTAAAAGTTAACAAGACTAAAGGGAGCTTGTTTTAAAGTTACCGTTACTTTAAAATGCATCTATGTATACATATTGGCCTGGCAATCTAGAAAGCCAGATCTCAGTCTCGGTCACAACAGTGTGAATCCTGGATGACTCCACTAAAGTCAGTGGAAGTTATCTGGCTGCAAGAGAGATCAGGATATGACCCTAAATGTGGTGGTGTGGTATTTTTAAAGCAAACACCTTTAAACTGTATGGGTTTTTTTTTCTTCTTTCCCCTCACACCTCTCCCAGCATTTTTAGCCCACATCAAATCTAACTTTTCACTTTTGATAGGTGGTATAGTCAAGCTTAGTGAAAGTGATCTTCTCTTCCCACCACTAAGTACCCTTCTCACAGCTGTACATGAAGTATAGTTTTCCCCATTCTGATCTCAAATTCTCTGAACAATGATTCTTATAAGGAAGGAATCCGACTGCCCCTAGAGCTTCTTGGATGCAAACTGCCACCCCTTCTGGATGGCTTCAGCAGTTTGCTTCACAGCAAATCCAGACTGAACTGTACCTGTGAAACCTGGGTCTCATACTGCAGTGGTACCAAAACACAGACCTGCCAGAAGCTACAGAGGGCTTGATAAACATTGTTTCATGTTAAGGTGGTGCGTGATGAGGTATGTTGTATATAACATGCTACATGCACACGTATGTTCTATGCATAGATAGATACATGTGCACACACTCATAAATACAGATTATAGGATCTTCCTATTCAGATCAGAGCTGTGTTTTTTTTCCCCACGTGAGACAGTTGCGTAGATTCAGTGCAAAAAAGCAGAGCATGTTGGGTTGTGGAGACAGCAGGAAAAGAGAGGTTAGGGAAGTCCAAAGGGATATGTAGCTAATCTACCAATGTTTAACAGGTGATGGTGACTTTGGTGGTATTGTAGGTGAAACTGCAGGCGGAGAGGAATCACGCTTTTCTTTAATTCCTGCAGTTTAATTTACAGGCTTCTGAAATGTTGTTTTTTCATCAAATTGTTCTCATACACCAATATATGATTTCGGTATCAATGGATCTGCATATAATACAAATACGAGAATATAATGCTTTCAGTTTGGATAGTTAATTAATGCAGAATCAACCTTGCACATCTAACTGATATTTGCAGACCTGCAGTCATTTGTTCATACATTTAATCAAAAGTAGAAGAAAATTGGCTCCTTCTGTTTTGAAAAATAATCAGGGTCTGATATTTTCTTTTAGAGTTAGGGAAAGCTCACAAAGGATAAGGCAAACGGTACGTTCCTTTAGGGTTAATTTTGCAAACATATTGCAAACCCACGGGAATGTCCACAAACCCATTCATGCCAAAGATCATCTGTGGTTTTGCATTGAAATTTGCCCATGAGGAAACTTAGTTCTTTTGAACCTGAATGTTTTCAATTTACAGGGACAAGCAACTTCATGTGAACCCTTTTTAATAAGAAAAAAGCCCACACCACAGTAGGTCTTGAAACTCTTAATAAACAGGCACCATGGAAAATGATAGAGTCTTGGCTAAATATTTACACTATCAGTAGCTGTATGTGAGGACGAATCCGAGGCAGGAGTGCTGTTTGGTCAAGCCCTTGCCTAGCAATAAGAACACTGATGAGTGTTTTGGTATGTAAATTTCTCAGTGGGAGTGCTCAGTGATATCTGCCTACAATGAATACATAAGAGTGTGGGATAACGGCTTGGTTCGGTGCCCGTCTCTGGCAGATTTGCACTGTGCCTCAGTGCTTCAGAATTTCATATATATATTTTTTGGGGCTATTCTGTGGGACTAAGGAGAGCTAAAATGAGATTTTTGTAGGCTTAAATAGCCCTCACACATTCAACTTCTTGAGAAAGCTTCAACTTAGTAAGAGTATGTAGGTTTTTATCCTCAAAAAAAAGTGGAAGCCTTTGTATAAAACTTTATTCCAGAGCCTTACTGTAGGCTCTAGAGTTTTTAAAGCCAGTTTTACCTCTAGGTAGGCACTGGCAAACACTGGTATCCCTAGAGGTATATAAAATACACATAAAGATGTGTCAGGTTGCATTCAGTCTTAGCACACCGGGTCACTGACAGTGCTGGATCAGACAACTCACTGAGGTGCATCTTCTCACTTTGACGGTGACTTCTGAGGAAGGTGAACCTGAGGTGAACACCTGAGCTTCCATTTCTAACTTTCATATGGGGAGGAGGAGAAACAATATGCATCTCTTGAGAATTGAGTTAATTTTTTTTAAAAAATGTAATATTGCTTCAAGAATGCTCAAGAGCTTATAAAAGTAATCAATTTGCATATAAAATCCTTTAATGTTGATGGGAGCTCCAAGCCTGAAATGAATACGAAATACGCAGTAGTGACACTCTGGACAAAAGATCTGCAGTGCAGGAGTGTTCAAGGGGAACATTTTGTCTTAAGTAATTAATCTGCAGAAGAGATCCCCTGCTGTTGTTCTTGCTACAATGCTCTCTGCGTTTAAACATCAATCTAACTTCTGAAAAGTAAAATTTGCAAGTAATATTATTTTTAATTTTTAAACATTTTAGTGGCAATTAGAGGAATCTTAGTTGTATTGCAGTATCCTAGTTCTTGGCTTGCTTTGGAAAAATACAAGTTTGCATGAATAAAAGGTACAAAGACTTGAGTTTTTATAGCTAGAGCTCTCGTTTTCATGTGTTGGGTAGTGCTGAGAGCTTCAACCCCGTTTTTAGCCATCTGTAACTGTGCCCATGGCTTGTCATAGTTTTCAGGATAATTTGCAGAAATTTGGACTACAACTGGTTGGACTGTAGCCTCATAGAAACAATGTATTCTCAGTGTTATATGTAAAATTTTATACTGTAGAGGTAAAATCAACTGAATATTCATAACGTTCTGTTACCTCGTAGTTATTCTGTTGCTCTTTTTTCCAAATAAAAGGTGAACTGTAGTCTAAATTTACTGTAAGAGAAATAACATTTTCACAGTGTATCCTGTAGAGTTCTTCATTGATTTTTAACATGTACCACTCTTCTTCTGAAAAGTTCTTGGCATTTAGGTTATGTACTGTATTTCAGAAATACAGTAATTGATGTAAATCATTGTTGAAATTTAGGTGCCCTTTTGGTACCAGTGGTAAGGAATTAGGATGGGTCTCTTTGTTTATCTATCTCAGATAACACTGAAATGACTATTGAACTCTCGAAACTCACCCCTAACTAACATGAGATCCAACCACCAAAATACAAAGAAATATTTTTAGTGTGTTATGAAATTTTTAAATATTACATAATAGTTTTATTTTTCCCTTTAGCCAAACCAACGAGTTTATCACTTCCCTTGACGCCCGAGTCACCAAAGTAAGTACTAAAAAGTGCAAACATTTATAAAAGGGAGGGGGGTTCAGTAGATTTTGGCTACAGCAACTCCATTTCAGCTTGTTTTTATAAATGTGCCCTGTCTTCCAGTGATCCCAAGGGTTCCCCATTTGAGAACAAGACTATTGAACAAACCTTAAGTGTGGAACTCTCTGGAACTGCAGGTGAGAAATGGGGAGTGCTGGCTCTTCCTTTAAACATGGCCCTCATGTGTGCTTGTTCATTTTAATATATCACATGTACACCAAGATCTCACAGAGGTCTCCAGTGGATTAACCTCACTGCAGTTTAGCATTGACTTTTTATCCAGTTACCTGAGAAGGAATGTGTTTGAAAATATGGCTCCAAACCTACACAGGAGAGCATAATTTCTAGGAAAATATGAATGAAACCATTTATCTGTTATACTTCCCCATTTCCCCATAGATTTGTGTACTGCTGAGCACTATCTTTCAAAGACAAACCCCACAGCACAGTGTAATAGATGTTACAGATGGAAAAGTTACGTCATCCAGTCTGTCTCCAGAAAGGTCTAGGGCTGTACATGACTGCATGTTCCAGTGCTTTGTCAATTCTAGATTAATATGTCACAAATAACAGCTTTCTCCTCTACCACTGAAAAACTATTCCATAGCTTAGAGGTAGTTTTTCAAATTGGTATTCATTTTATATGCTTGCTTTCTCTTTATTTCTTCCATTAGCATACCCCTTGCAACAACCTCCCTTTATCCTCCTCCTCCTTTCACTTCTCTGTTGTTTGTACGTTTTGAAGATTTGTAGATTTTTTGTATTATGTGGTGGTTTAGTTCATGCATCACCCATTACACTAATTTCATATGCTTTTCTTCGTGCTAAAGTAAATTCCTTCAAATTCAGACCTATTTTACTGCTTTCCTCTGAACTCTGTTTTGCCTCTGTTTTTCTGAAGCATTCAAAACTGAGCACAAGAGCACATGTTGAGCTCCACCTGAGCTGCTGCCAAGACTGTTTTCTTTCTCAGTTGTGTAATATTGAAAAATAAGAGATGTATTTGGCACGTATTTCAGGATAAGAGTAGATTGTATTTTGTGTGATCTCTAGCGTTTTGGAAGGAATTGCAAAATATGTCTTCAGGTAGCATAAATCAGCTTGCTGCCTCTCAATTCAGTGGCAGCTTTACACAAGAGCAGGCCCAAGCACTGGATTTGTGTACGTACTTTGGGCTTTCACCTCCCAACATCCATCATTCCTTTTTTTTTGGAAACTTTCTCATTAGTTCATTATTAAAACATATACATTTCCTTTGCTATGTCCTGAAAATCTGCAGTCTTTATCTTTTCTCTTGTGACAAAAGGAAGCATGCTTCCAATGCACCTTCGTTTTGCAAAACCAACATAAACATGGCAAAATTCACTGTATGCAGCAGGATAATCCTGTTCATGCCAGCAGGCCTGGAGCACAGAGCAGCCTCTTTTATCATTACTGGAGAGCAAATCTGCATGAGGGTGCCCATTTGTAAGCACTCTGGTAAGTCAGTGCATAGTTCTGCCAACTGAAAGGGGCAGATGAGGTGACTCCAGCAGAGTGGTACAAGCAGCCATTGAGATCACTGAAGGGAGCCGTGTTTTCTCCCAGCCAGAAAGTCAGCAGCCTGCTCTTCCCATCAGCTGACTAGACAGAAACTAGGAGTCGGTCTGATCCATGGATAGTCCCCTAGTGTTGCCTCCATAATGGTGACAGGAGTGGTGTTGGTATTACCAAATTCATTCCACACCATCAGCTGTGCACAGAAGAAGAAACAAAACACTTCTGTAATTGTCTTAGGCAATATAACCAGGAGAACTAGTGCATTTAAAAAATTCATCGGAAAGTCTGAAATAGCACAACTGGATGAATGTGTGAACAGTAATGTTGTACTATGAAAACATGATTTATTTTTATCTCTGGAAGTACATAGAGTCTATCTAGAAAATAAACTGGTCGTAATCAGGAAGAGTAAGAGTTGGGGGAGCACGTGTGGCCAGGGAGTTGGTGCGGTGTTATCAAGCAGTGTACATGATGGTGGCTCTTGAACTTCATGTTGCACTTGCTCTAGTCTTCACAGTGCCTGATGAGGAGGTTTCAGAAGGTACTATTTCATCACTTGGTAGGTGTATTAATCTCTGCTTTCACATACACATGGATTTTATATTCATATATGTATATAAAGCTGTAAAAAGGTGAGGGGTTGTGCATGTCTTTTTAACTCATTTGTATTTCAGTAGTGTCTTTGTTATGAGTCTGCTTGTGCTAGAAGCAGACAAGTACATAACAGAACCAACCTCAAGTACTGAAGAACTTACAGCATATGTAAGTAAATCATGCAGAATTGAGACCCATTTCTGTAGAAAAAAAAAAAAAAAACACCCCCCCCAAAAATAAGGAAACAAATAGTTGCAGTAGTGATTAATACTACCTTGGAGTTCTTTAGTGAGACCCTGGCAACTCCAAATTATATCCTGATAAGCGCATTGCTCATTGTCCTTATATAGGGCAGCTTGCACTGTACAGGCACTATTTATTATAATTTAAATAGGAGTTGCCTTGATCTCACTGCCGAATTGAAAAGACCATTAGCAGTGCTGCTTGCACTATCGAAGCACAAAGTATTTTAATATAAATAGCAGCTCCCTTGATCTCTCTGCTGAAAACAACATTGGTTCCCTCACTGCTGAATTAACTATAGAGCAGAAAAATAAATAAATAAAAGCATTTCCCACATGAGCCATCAATCTTCGTCACACACGTTTTGGATTCATGTATCTAAAGTCAGGCTGAAACTGTTCTCTTTGCCAGTGCTGTATCTTGCTTTACAATGGATTTGTTTTTAGGCACAAATGTAACTTTGTCCTCGCTAAAACCATCAAAAAGTTGATTTGTCAAATTACAAGGAAGAAATATTTTCTTAAGGTCTTTTCAAGCCACACATATGAATTCTTTGAATGTACTTTATCGTAAAGGTGACTGTGGTACTGGAATAAGTCCATTGCTGTGTAAAATCTCAACTCCTTCAGGTGATTTCTAGTGCTATTCTAAGGAAAATGGACGAGAAAATCGTGTTGTGGAGGAAGTCCTATGTGATCATAACATGATGGATGAAGTCTCTGTGTAAGGCAGGTCTTGTTCTGAGTAAGAGGCTCACAAGAGGTCCTTCTCCCTTTGTTTCCACAGCTAGCTGCATTGCCAGTGACTTGCTAAGAGTTCATGTGCTTGAACCTCTCTAATGTCTTCCAGGGACACGGGACATTCCTGTGTCACTGGAAGACCTTTCCTCGTTCTTAACAGTCAGGTTGAGGGATCACCTGCAGGCACAGGGACTGGAAGGATGACTCACCCTCTGGAGGTGGCTGTGTTTCTCTTGATGATTGAGGGCTCCTCAGTGATTGTCTTAGCTTTTCTGCTGAACTTGTAAATGCCAGAAGTTGGATGGCAAGGCTCCTAAATGTTTGAAATTTGGCTCTCTTTGTTCTCTCAGTGTCTTTTTAAATCTTTACTCCTAAATAATCAAAGCCATCACGTAAGTGCATTAAATGAGTTTACATACTTAAGGCTCAGTCGGTAACTGGAACACTCGTTCCACCTTTGTATGTACAACAGGTGACTTGGTGGAAAGTGTCTCATTTGCACACAGATCCCTGTAATTTACCTGAGCATAAAACTTGTCACTGGTCTTTCCTGGGTGCAAAATTTGATTTCTCAAAAAAAGATGACAGAACAGTCTGGGTGAACACAATCAGCCTGAACAGTGATTTGGAATTCATGAACACCCTTGAGGATACTTGCACCCTGCTATTTGCCCACCTCTAGATCTTTGTTACCTCTTAGTTGTCAGAACAAATACTTAAATCTATTATATAAGAACTTGTTTGATCTCAGAATGATTTCTGATAAAATGAGATGTGAGATGCAGAAGATTGTCCAGAGGGAATAAAATCTAGTAAATTATTTGATATTTTCAGGCGTCTGTGTTTATTCTCTGCAGCACTGACAACAGGATTAAACTAAACGCTCAACAAGCATGTAGGTTTTTTATTATATTATGACTATTTAATTTCATCATATTTTCCTGGTTTCTGCAAACCTGTGCCACACAGAAGTTCTTCTGATTCTTCTACTGAATTGAGCTGTTGTCTTGTGTTCAGTGTTTAAAGTGGCCTTAAATAATGTTTCCCTTGACAACCCATTTTCAAACTTAAAAGTTGATTTTCATGCCTCTCAAAAGCCCAGTGAACATGTACAGAGATTGCAAGGCTGTGTTCCCCAAAAGACACTAATTCTCAGCCCCCTCAAAGGACAGCAAACATCATCAAACATTTAAATGCTAACAGTTACAGCAGAGTTTTAGAAAATCAGCGTCTATGAAAAACAGTCTTGCAAATCAGTCCTAAAAAGTCAGGATGCCACATTTTATGCAAAGGTGCTCCCCTAATTTCTGCTTGTCAGCCTAGCTGAGCTGAATGAGTTACTAAGGGGTGTTTTAGTGGCAGTTGGAATGTATCAAGGTAGCTCCACTTGTCCAAGAACTTTCTTGAAAGAAGTCGTTCAGCCAGGGTGACAGAGCTGACGCACACCTTTTGTTGCACAGCCGCAGGGAGGATGGTGCTCCTTCGGCAGCGGCGCTGGCAAATTGATGTAGACTGTTTTCAAGCACAAGATCACCGAGTGAGTTCGTAGTATACAGACAGAGCGAGGCAAAGTGCAAACGTACCATTTACCAAAGCCATTCAATTAAAGAAAAATCCCTACAAAGAAAATGGTTATATAGCATGTCATGAAAAAATACTTGCCTTTTACTTTAAAAAGAAAAAAGACTGTTTAAGGGGGATGATTGCAGAGTATGTACCACTTCTAACAGATTTGCTGTGCAGAAGTACATAAGTGTGAGTGATGTAGAGGTACTTGTTTATTATAGAGCACATTTCAATGCAGTAATCATAAATATTGCTAAGGTTGTGCTCTGTTGAAATATGACCTACATACTCTTGATTGTTTGTGTTACGTGATTTGTCTGACACCCATTACATTCTGGGTAATGGCAGCCATTTGTTGCTGTGCACAGCAGGCTCTTTTGACAAAAGAAAATAGGCAGCAATAAAAAAGCTATAGTCTGAATTACATTCTGCACAGCACTGCACTGCTGAGAGTTTGTGCAAGTGCGTTAACAATGCTCTGAACTGCCTCTTGTCAGCCTTCAGCCCGTAATGGCCATCTGTCCTTCCATAAATCTGTCAAAACCTGCTAAGTTCAAGAGAGAGCACAGAACATACCTTGTACTGTCAACGCTAAAACGTACACATTGACGGAGAAACAGGCGCGTACGAAATAATCCAGTGGTCATAGAGTATTGTAACGCTGTTGATGTGGGATCATGGCCCTTGGTGAAGTTTACCAGAGATTAGTATGAAGATGAATGTGTGTCCAGCTAACTGGTTTTCTCAAAGTTTGTGGTTTGGATATTGGTCATGGGACACGGCGAAGGTGGACTCCATAGTGGTAACATGAATTCAGAACTTCCCTCCCTCCTCTGTCCCGTGGTGGAGGTTTGTTCAAAAGTTAAATGAGCGTTTTCCAGCTTCTGTCTGTTTCTACTTGCCTCTGTACTTCCTTCTTCTGCTGAAAACCAGGAAAAAAGCCAAAGTGCCACGAGGAAGCCCTTTCTTAGGCTGTTCCCAACGAAGTTCTGCCAGCAGTAGAAGTGACAGTAAATTTAGCTCAGTCTGTACTTTTGTGAGGGTTTTTTTTTTTGATAGGGCTTTTTTCTCTTCTTTTAAAGATTGTTGGACTCCTTGTCAGGCTTCTGGAAGTCATTGTGCTCTGTGTTTAGCATGCTTCCTGCTGGGATTAGCTTCAAAGAAGTGGACATGGAAACGATATTTTTATTTTTAATATTGTATTATCTCTGTGTTTCTTTGCCTGAAATTCTTAAATATGCATATTCATTGTGGAGTGGTTGTATCTCTGCTTCAATCTTTCTTTTAAACCACATCCAAAAAAAATCAGTAACAAGCCCCAGAGCTTATGGGATGTATAATTTCAGGAGTAAAAGTGACAGTTCTAAATTTTTTATCTAGAAAACAGTCTTTGCTTACTCAAATCTTTCTTGAATCTGAGTTTGAAGTTCTAGCCAGAAATTGTTACTGATTTTGACTAGGACTGTTCTTTTCATTTTACCAACAGTTAATTTGGTAATCAAGACATTTGTTAGTGAGGAGGAGGATAAGGTGAAACATGTGCTGCTGACTTAAGTGAATTTTTGGGGAGGAAGAAAGATTTGAGGTCTCAAATTAAAGGAAATAGTTTAACAGTGATGACTTTGCAGAAAACCTCTTGACTATTAAATCCAAATTTAGGGTAACTACAGTTTCAGATGTCATTGTCTTTGCCTCAGTTTCCCTGACATTTGTGGCATCAGGCAAAGTCTTCACACAGCCATACATAGCTCATAACCATTTTTTCCAAACCTTCAGACAAAATCGGGCTTCTCTCTTACATCAAGTATTCATGCCTTGGTACTCCTGCCTTCTTTTTTTCTGGAACAAATACGTTGCAGCTAATGCAGTGGGACTCCCAGTCTCCATTTATGCTCCTTAGGGAGCACTATGCATTGATGGACGCTTTTCCTTCTTTACAGCAAAAGACTATCAAACATGTTCCATTTGCATTGATCTGCTGAGCTCTGTTGCATGGTTAAAAATACAACCCAAAACTCTATAGCTGTTTGAAATACATGTTTCCTGTAAGTGTGCCTGCCTTCTCTTTTCATTCTTGCTAAGGAAGCGATGGAAGGTTCATTGTTTGGGCTGGAAGAAGTCTTGTGCAGCATCAGCCCCTACAGCACTTAAGGATGGTTGGGATTATCTAGGAGAACTTTCTAATCTTGGTCTGTTCTGTTTAATTTTAAGCATATATACCTCTAAATTACATTAAGGTAAATTCAATAGAAGCAAATTTTTCAAATCTAACATACCAAGTACTTTCCTGAAGAGTAGTTATTTCCTGAACAGCAGCTGCAGTTTGCTGTTACTCTGCCCTGGTGTCCTGGGTTATCCTTTTGCAAAGTCTGAAGAAATGCTATGCTTTCTACGGAAAAATATTAGAAAGTTATAGACTACCCTTATAAAAATAATTGGAAAATACTGCTTCAGTTCCCAGGTTTTACTGGAATGGGCTGTAGTCCTTCCTGCAGTTTTGTCTCACCATAATGATATAGTCTGTTAGAGGTATGTGAACCATCCTGGTAGTTAGTGGTAGTTTTACTCTTTGAATACTTAACCTGTTTCATTTCAGCTCCCTACTTCACGACTCTCATATTGGATTCTAAATGTGATGGTTCATTACAATTGCAGGTGGCCTATTGTTCGCTTGGGTTTCAGCTGCAGAACCATGTCAGGCAAAATGTATTAGTTATGCTTACAAGAATGTATTATACATATATTAGCAATGGTTTACTAAGTTAATGAGCTGTGGAGACAGAGAGTCATTGCAGTTAAATTGTAGAGTTGCTGTACTTCTTGCATTCAAGTTCTGCATTCTACCAAGGTTCCTTTGGTAGCACTCATTTATTCTTCTCAGGCTGCTTTTATTCAAGTTTTTGTCTGCTAATTTCTTCAGGGTTTTTACAGTGCTGGTCTTTTGACTTTTGATTTTTGTACAAAAACCTTTTTCATTTTTAACAAAAAAGCCTTTTAGGTTTTATCTCTTGATCTTTTCTATCAAAATCTACAGAGAGAGAGAGAGAGAGAGAGAGAGGTCGATGTCATGGAGGAGATGGAGGAAGGGGCGGGACAGAAATTACACTGAAGATTAATGGCAATGCATTAGTACTGTTGCTAATGTTGTTACCAGATGTTTGGTGTCTCACACCCTAAAGACTCTCATTCCCAGTATTAGTAGTGTTAAAGTGGCATAGATTAGGTCTTGCTTTGTATCTGTTTATAAAGAAGCACATGAGCCACCTTTATAAACATCGTATGTGTGTTTAAAAATACTGTTTCTCCTTTTTTTCCCCTTAGGCCTAACTCCACCTACGACCCCTCCTCATAAAGCCAACCAGGATAATCCTTTTAGGACTTCACCTAAGCTGAAGTCATCATGCAAGACTGTTGTACCACCTTCAAAAAAGCCCCGCTATAGTGAGTCTTCCGGTTCTCAAGGAAATAACCCAACCAAGAAGGGTCCAGAACAGTCTGAGCTGTATGCACAGCTTAGCAAGACTACAGGACCGTCCAGTGGACATGAGGAGAGAAAAACAAAACGGCCCAGTTTGCGGCTGTTTGGTGACCATGACTACTGTCAGTCTGTGAATTCAAAATCGGAAATACACATTAAAATATCCCAGGAACTTCAGGACTCCAGACAACTAGAATTTAAGGATTCTTCACCTGGGTGGCAGTGTCAGATTTGTTCTTCTTTAGAACAAGACCGGTATTTCAAGAAAGAGACTTTACAGACAAGTAAGCAGGGATCCCATGGTAATAACAGAAAACAGCTCCAAGACCAGGAAATTCGGGCTGAACTGAACAAGCATTTTGGTCACCCCAGCCAAGCTGTTTTTGATGAAGAAGCAGATAAAACCAGAGATCTAAGGGACAGTGATTACAGTAATGAACAATTCTCCAAACTACCTATGTTTATAAATTCAGGACTAACAATGGATGGTCTCTTTGATGACAGTGAAGATGAAAGTGATAAACTATGCTACCCTTGGGATGGGACACAAGCCTATTCGTTATTTGATGTATCGCCTTCTTGCTCTTCTTTTAACTCTCCATGCAGAGATTCAGTGTCTCCACCCAAATCCTTATTTTCTCAAAGATCCCAAAGGACACGCTCTAGGTCAAGGTCCTTTCCTCAATGCAGGTCTTGTTCCCGTTCTCCATATTCCCGATCGAGATCAAGGTCGCCCTGTAGTAGATCCTCTTCCAGGTACGGTACAGCACACCCATGTGTCATCATTGCAGTTAGTGAGAAGGGAAGCAGCAAAACATAAAGCAACTTGAAGGAAAGAAAGAAAAATATAAAAAAAAAGTAATTTAATCCAGTGCAACTCATTCTATAGCTCCTGAGCTGATTAACTCTGAAGGTGACAGGGTTGCTACAGAAACACTTGCTGCCATTATCCTTTAAATTTGCCAAGTTTACACTTTCTGAGTGGAGCCAGTCAAGTCAGCAGCGGAGCAATTGGTGAGAGATGTACACAGCTAACCTTTCCCATTATCTGTGAGCCGCCCGGTGCCAATCTAGCTGCAGTCGCTATCAGATGAAGTTGACAGTGGCTGACTCTCTGCTCTGTGTTAGCCTCAATAAGGAACATTACAGAAGGGCAGGGGGGGAAATCACTTGAGGCCCCTTAGTTGACTAGGAGATCGCAAACTGTCACTGGAAAATCTCACTGGTAGCTTGGAAGAAATTGTACATTTGGGGAAGAGGTAGAAGATGGTGTCAATAAATTCAAACTGAATGACAGAGGTGAATATGTTCCTTCCTGCAGATCTTGTTGCTATTATGAGTCCAGCCACTGCAGACACCGAGCATACAGAAGTTCTCCCTTACGTGCCAGATCGCGATCCAGATCACCGTACAGTCGCAGACCCAGGTAGTGCATTTCCCTGCCATTTGGTTTGCTCTGCAGCTGGTTCCCCAGAGATAGTGAAGCATTCCAGAAATTGTTTTACTAATCTTGCTTTCACAAATACAGGTGCTTGATTTAATGACTAAGTTATGTTTCCTAGATATGACAGCTATGAGGAGTATCAGCATGAAAGGCTGAAGAGGGAAGAATATCGCAAAGAGTGTGAAAAACGGGAATCTGAAAGGGCCAAACAAAGGGAGAGACAGAAGCAGAAAGCAATTGTAAGCACTCTGAAGATAACTTTCATTTTGAAATAGATTTCTGTTTCTTTTAATAGATTTCTAAATTAGAACTCCAACTTTATTTTCTTGCCTTTTAGAAAAGAAAACACAAAATACAAAAATCTGCTTACATGTATTTATTTGTCTTTCAAATTTTAGGCAAATACATGGTTTATAATAATTTATGTTTTGATGTTACAGTACTAATTTTTTTTGGGTTCTGTAAATTGCAACTTCCAAGTTTTTCAGAGTCAACAGATACAAATGGCTTACTGGAAATAGGTTTCATCCCAAACAACAGACTATTAAAAGTGAACCAGTCGATTTCTTATGCAGATCTATCAGTGAACCTGGATTTTGTACTGTGTGTCACCTACCAGAATGCCAGTAATCAATGTCTATTCTTTATATTTCTGGATTTTTACATAAGCAGTATAGGGAGTCGGCTTACATACTGACTGCAGGACTTTCATAGTAGCTGTAATTGTCTGTACAGAGGGTGCAGATAATAAAAGCCAAAACTGGGATGCAAAGGCATGAATGTAGGGGTTTTTTTCCCTGTCTATGACTTGGTTAATTTTGAAGTTATTTTTAGCAAAATAAATATTCTGAAGGCATGATGCAGTTTAAAAATGTCACTTAACACTGGCCCTTTCGTAATGAATATGCATTATTTAATTATTTTGTTCATCAATGTGAAACAACTGAAATACCTGAGGTGAAGTAAATGCCCATGTGGGGACGAGCAGTTCTCTTGGCTGTTGCAGCAGTAGGATAGAAGAGTGGCTATTAAATAGGCAGGTGGCTTTTGCCCCTTTTTAGTTGCCCATTGGCAGCTGTGTGATGGTTTTGATAAGTTAAATTGGGAACTACTGTTAATGTGGACTCCTCTTGTAGTTGCTAAGCCCATTTGTTGGCTCACCTTAACATTTTCTGCTTGGTTTTCTGTGTCCTGCTTGCTCCATACAGTTTTACCTTCACTGCTATTCTGGCTGAGCTCTGGCTCTTGCATGAACTGGTGCAGACTGGGACACGTCATCTTCATTTCCATATATGCCTTTGGCACTCTGTCCAGGGCTCATCAAAATGAACAGGTCTTTTTTCCCCAGTGCATTTAGTGGACTTAGTAGTAAGAAGTGATTTGTCACTCAACAGCATTTCTCCTAATACTTATACCTACAGAACTAAGAGCATGTTAGAGATTGGCAGACTGGTGTAGTTTACAGCAACAAGAAGTTCTGAAAGGGAAGAGGCATCTTTATTTCCTGATTTTTGACTCTGCTACTGTTGTCCTTAGTGAGTTTCATCAAATCATTTCACTTTTCTCTGTTTCAGGTGCCCTATCTACAAAGTGTGGGTGATAGGTGTATTTTGTAAAGGATGAAGTTTAGAGCTATAATGTGCTCAGCTGTCCTGATCTGAAACTCAGTGAAGGCAATGGAACGATTTTGCTTCACTTCAGACAGGGCTATATTTAAGTCAGTTGTTGCAGTTTTAAAATACCTGGCTTCCATGTGCGTAGAGATGAACACTACCTTCCTGCAATCAGAACTTACACTGCCTGTTCTCTCTTATATCCCAACACAAATTAGAGGTGCAAGTAGACCTCTGTCATGGGTGTATCTTGCAACTTCTCAATCTCTGTACCTTACTGCTATAAATAAACATGAATCCTACTGAGGAGTAGGAAATTGATTTCATTTAAAACAAACAAGTATTTGGCAAGTAGCTAATCAAGAGAAGAGGAAAAAGGAAAGAAAAGAAACTTAAAAAGCTCTAGATAAACTGCGTTGTAACTTCCTGTGCTAAAAATTTTAGATGCTTCAAAACCAAGGATAAATTTATTTTCTATGTAAAGTAAGCATTGTCATGCTAGTTAACATCATTAATAAGATTAGTTATTAGTAAACATAACTAAAAAATAAATATCAATAAACAGAACATGGCAAAAATTTAAAATCCAGACACCTGTGTAAGAACTACAAGAAATATAAATGAAATCTAAGGTCTATCAGCAATTTTACTTTAAAAATCTGTACTGAATCATGCCAGTTTTTTCCCTGTGCAAATAACTAGGTGTAGGGGACAGCAGAGACAGGGAAGCCCTGATCCCTTGAAGTCAGTGATAATATTTGTTTTATTTCTATCATTCTCTGCTCCTTTTCTTACTCCTTTTGGCTTATGGGTCTTTTCTCTGTTACTCTTTTCTTTCTTGAGGAACTCATTTATTGTTTGACCACGAGAATCTTGTCTCTCCTTGAACTGTTCTGACAGTCCCATAAATTTAGATTTCTTAGCTCTCTGCATTGGATAATTTCTTATTTTCTTTCTAGCCCATTCTTGTGCTGCCAGAACTGATGCGTGGCCAAATACCTCCAGCTACTGTTAAAAAAGAGTGGCCTAAAGATTGCGCAGTATTAGTGCCTCAGGTGATACACAGGACAGGTGGCCCTTCTTCATGAGAAGCATGAAGGTGCTCAGGTGGTGTTTTCATCAGTCCCTCAAGTGGAAGGGAAAAACACTGGAAGTGTGTGGAAACCACATCTGATTAACATTTGGCTCAGAGACTGATGCCACCATTAGAATTTTAGGTTCTTTAATCATGGGGAAGTTTATATGGAACCTGGTCTGCTGGCAGAAGGAGCACGCCTGTGTCCACGGGGAAAAACAATCCTCACACAGCAGTTGACGGGGGTCATTGACAGGGCTTTAAACTAGCTATGAAGGGGGAAGGGGATAACACCAGGCTCGTGAGAGATGTGCCTGAGGACAGACTTCAGTCTACTGTCCTACTCAAGGCGGACCATGATAACACAGGGCTCACTAACAATTTAGAAACCATGGTAATGGCAAGGAATGGTCAGAAAGCAAGAGAGAAAACTGGTGGGTTAATTCTCTCTCTGAAACACTTAGATACCAATGCACGGAGTGTGGGGAACAAGCAGGAGGAGCTGGAGGTCTGCGTTAGGTTGCATGACTATGATATAATCACAGTCACTGAAAAAATGGTGGGACAGCTCCCACAGCTGGAATGTTGTCATAGGTGGTTACATACTATTTAGGAAAGACAGACCGACAAAGCGAGGCGGTGGTGTTGCTCCTTATGGGCAAGAGCAACTGAGATGTATTGAGTTCTTTCCAGGGGGGCAGGTGGAACAGGTTGAGAGCTTGTGGGTAAGAATTAAGGGACATGCAAAGGGGGGTGAAACTGTTGTGGGAGTCTGCTATAGACCTTTAAACCAAGAAGAGGATGTTGGTGAGGCCTTCTACAGACAACTGAAGGTAGCCTCTAGAACACACTCCTCGGTACTCATGGGTGACTTCAATCACCCTGATATTTGCTGGGGAGCCCACACAGCTAGGCATGTTCAGTCAAAAAGGCTCTTGCAGTGCATCGATGATAACTTCTTAATGCAGGTAGCGGAGGAACCAATGAGAAGAGGTGCACTGCTAGACTTTGTATTAACAAAGAAAGAAGGACTGGTCGGGGACATTAAGGTTAGGAACAGCCTTGGTGACAGTGACCAGGTCATGGTGGAGTTTAGTATTTTACAAGGCAGAAGTAGGACAATAAGTTGGACTATGACCCTGGACTTCTGCAGGGCTAACTTTGCACTTTTCAAAGATCTACTTGCAGGAATCATAGAATCCTTTAGGTTGGAAGGGACCTCCAAGATCATCAAGTCCAACCATTGAGCCATTAGGGCTCTAAAGTCCTCTGCTAAAACAGATCAGAATCTGTCAGGGTTGGAAGGGACCACAAGGATCCCCCAGTTCCAACCCCTCTGCCATGAGCAGGGACACCTCCCACTAGATCAGGCTCCCCAGAGCCTCATCCAGCCTGGCCTTAAAGACCCCCAGGGATGGGGCCTCAACCACCTCCCTGGGCAACCCATTCCAGGGTCTCACCACTCTCATGGGGAAGAACTTCTTCCTCACATCCAGCCTGAATCTGCCCACTTCCAGCTTTGCCCCATTCCCCCTAGTTCTGTTGTTACTCAATATCCTAAAAAGTCCCTCCCCAGCTAAGACTCTGGAGGGTAAAGGGACCAAAGAATGTTGGCCAATTGTTAAATACCGCTTCCTACAAGCCCAAGATCGGTGCATTCCCTTGCATAAAAAATTGG